AACAGAAGGAACCACAGCTGCTTCAGGACCAGACCTTTGAGGCTGCGGGGAGTCTCTATGTGCCTGTCTTGCTTCCAGCATGGACAGCAGTCTTGGTGACCACTGGCACTTGGCTGCATCGCCAGTGCTTCATCTTAAAACAACTGTCCTGTGTACAGCATACTGTCATCCCTATGTCCATCTTTGTGTCCAAATCCCTGCTTCTTTAAAGAATGCCAGTCATTCTGGATTGGGGACCATCTTTGACCCTCTATAGAAGTTATGATTCTCAGCTGTTTGGGTCTACAACTTTTACCTTTTTGGAGTGAACATAATATATATTGACTCATTAAGCCATTGAGAAGTCCCTCTTGTTTCCTATCTTTCTTTTCTTTGGTACACCCCAGTCTGCTTCCAGTTTCTCTGGATTCACCTCCTCTGTTCATTCCTTATAGATGAACTCATCTGACACGTGACCTCTTGCGTGTGCTGTCTCTCCTTCAGCCTGATGTTTCTGAGGTCCATGGGGGAGTATAACTGCTATTGCTGATTTATTCCTTTTTTTTTAAACCTTGTTCCACGTTTTAGGCAGAATGTTATCACACTTCTTTTCCACATGAAGAGACTGCTACATGTAAAGGTGAAGTAGCATGTCCAAGGGCAAAGAATGAGATTTCAGAAGGCCAGTGAACACGCTCTTGTGTTGTTAGGGAACAGAGAGAAGGGAGCATTAGATAGGGCAGACGAGCAACAGGAAGGTAAAGGAGGTTTGAGAGGATAAGTCCAGAGTGTCTTAGGAATGGCGTCTAAGGTTAAAGGTCAATGCTAAACTGTCACCTGCAGGTATCATGCAGCATTCTTCTCCATTCTTCTTAGGCCTTCAGAATGTTCTCCCTCAAATTTCCTGTCTCTATGAGGTACATTTTGGAGGATTAATAGGGTGTCTAAAGTAGACAAAGGAATTTGGAGATGATCAGAAAACACAAGTTCCTGGACATTTTAGGAAGTCGTGGATGTCTGATGAAGCTATTTATCCATTCATTTCCCAAGGGAAAGTGGAATCTGGGAGAGAGGTATTTTAGGACTTGGGGAACGGCTACATAGAAAGTCTGATGTATCACCAGTAGCCCTGTCCCCAAGACAACCATAGATATCTGTATCCTTTAGTATCCCTTGTGTTACAGAAAAAGATGCCAAGACTGCTACTATGTCAGGCCAGTTCCAGGGAAGTCTAAATATTTTAAAAATTGTACAATCAGTTTGCCAAGCCAGAGAGATGTGGCTCTCTACAGTGTAAGTCAAAACCAAATTGGACTTGTGAGGACTCCTCTGAGGAGAGCGGGCTGCACGTTGGTGTCTCACAGTTGCCGTTGCATGCCACATGGAATGGATAGCTTAAAACTATAGCAATGTATCCCTTCAGGCTTGCAGAGGTTAGACTGGATGCTGGCCCAATTCATTGTTTCTGGAGGGCTCAGAGGGGAGTCTGTTTCATTTGTCCAAGGCCAGTGTATCAGTCTGGGGTCTCGAGAGGAACAGAACCAATTGAGTGAGGAAGGATTATAATAGAGACTAACAAAGCATGACCCAGGGCTTGAACAGTCACAGGTTTTGGTACAGAGGGAAAGCTGGAACCAATGTGCAGATGACAGGGGATGGCTATACTTATTTATATAGATAATCTTATTTATGTAGGTATCTTATTTATGTAGACAATGATGTAGATTTTCTTTCCTTGTTTTGACTTTGTGAATGAGTGAGAGAGTGTGTGTGTGTGTGTCTACATGTTCATGTGTGCGCATACATGGAGGCCAGAAGTCAACACTGGGTGTCTTCATCTCTCATTCTTTACCTTATTTTTTTGGACAAAGTCTCTCACTGACCTCCAGGGATTCTGCCTTCTTCTCTTTCGAAGTTCTGCGTTTACAGACATGCCACCATGCTCAGCTGTGTATGCTGGGGTTGCAAACTCAACTCCTCGGATGCATGCCCAGTGCTTTGCCATCAGAACCAGCTCTTCATCCCCATCCCCCTTGTAACTTGTTTTGTTTTACTTTGCTTTTTTTTTTTGCAAAACAAACACATACACAAACTCTTTCAACTGAAAACAAAGAATGCATTTTTAATAAAAACTTAAATCTTAAATAACCAATTCTCAAAACTGGATGGTGAATGTGACTCTTATCCACACACTTATTGTCAGTTGGCATGGATAGGGCTTGTAGCGACATATTGACCATATATAAACTCAGAAGACAAGTTCTTTTTTTTTTTAAAGTTATCTAAAAATTACTTTTTACATGTGTCAATATGTTTATAATTGCTATGCCGGGAAGTATGACTTTCTCATATAAAAAAAAAAAAGAGTATTCTCCCATGTTAATTTTGCTTATCTATTTTTTTTTTCTTGTGCTGCTAGTATGATCACACGGCTCCATTCACAGAACTTCACACATGGTTAAGCAATACTTGTTGAGATCACTTTCTTCATGAGAAAACCAATTAGTTGAAACAATGTTTTGACTTTTGTCTCCCACTCAAGTCACCGGCTCAAAGTAAAGGTTTTGGAAGTTCATTCTCTCAAAGAAAGGCAGCCGATAAACAACTCAAGACAAGTGTAACGGAGACGCGGATTTTGAGGACGCACAGCAAAGTGGGAGAGAGTGTTATTACTAAGTTAAGAAATCCATGGAAAACAAACAATTTGGAGCTGGATACAGTGTATTCATAGTTTATAATTGCACCCGAATCAGCTGTGAGAGTCTCCTAACCAAATAGAAGCCACAGTTGACAGACATAAACATTTCTATTTATACACAGAGAAATCGAACTATAAAATATTTGTGATTGAGATGATACGCCACTGAAAACACACTGCACATGGCAGAATAAGCCTTTTTTGCTTTTCCTGCCTCCTCTTAGATTTCAGAAATGTGGGTCCTCCCTGAAAGGCTACCCCGTGAATCAACCTCAGCAGACCACAGTGAGCACTGACCCTCTTACTCTTTTTTTTTTTAAAAAAAATAAATGAGTTCTCTAAATATTGTTTGCATTTTTTCCTGTCAGCTGGTAATCCTTAAACAAGGATTAGCTGTATTGTGAGCCAAAGAACTTCAGCCCTTCCTTTAAGCTTTTAGGGAAATGTAATTGTTGAAAACAGAACTTCTGGTGTCTGGGGAAGGAGGAGGGGGAGGGGAAGAGGGGAGGAGGAGGGAAGAAGTCAGCAGAAGCAGCTGGGAAAAACCAAATTCTGTTGTTGTTTTTTTTTTTTTTTTTTTTTTTTAAAAAAACCCAACAACCCACAGTGACACTTGTTTCTTTTAAGTTGATCTTAAAAAGGGTTTCTACATAGGAAACCAAAGGAAGTGTGGAACGAATGATATCATTTAAATTTGGGATTAATGTTGCTTTGCAATAACTTGATTTATTGCTGACACTTCGTCTGCAATGAAATGAATTCTAAATTAGAATGGAATAAAACAGAGAATGCCTATGGTTTTCTTTTTCTTTTTTCTTTTTGGCATCTAAATTGGGCAAAACTGTTTTAGACATCATAAATAGATAGCTGACTTGATAAGCCCTTCTTTATAAATCACTTGCAGAGAAACTCTCTCAGGATTTTGAATGAGAATTCCTGGAAAGAAGCTGCGCCAGCGGAGGCTGCCTGACTTAGAGCTGAGGTGACTTTGTGGTGAAGTTGGAATGTTTCAGGTCCAGAGTCTAATTGTACCCTACCTTGGGCTAGTGAGAGCCCACTAAATAGCTTATCCTTGTCCAGCCCTGTGTCAACACTAACATCCTGTGATTAGCGGATAAAAAAGCCTTTTGGAATCTATTAACTTAGCAGACCGCAAGCTTCTATCAACCCCAAAGCTAAGAATGCCATCAGGCCGCATTTGAGGTCTCGGGGAAAGATTTCCTTACTGGAAACCACTCCTCTGATGTTGCTACGAATCGCCTTTTAAAATTCCTGGATTTGTAACTTTTTTGTTCTCTTACTATTAAAACACCACAAAACTGCTTCTTCATTGAAACAGTATATTTGTGGAACCCTAAATGAACATTCCTAGCCACTGTCACTCCCATCTGCTCCAGAGTAAACCACAGCTTATTTCTTAGAGCTGTTTCTTCCAATGACAACGCAAGCAAGGGCCTGGGAGGGTGGTGTGTATCTGGTACTATGGAGGCTGAGGCAGGAGGATCACAAGTTTGGGGCGAAATGGAAAAAAGACAATGCCCTTGAAGAGACTTGGATTGAAATCTCTTCAGTTTTAAAAAATAAGACAAGTGAGAACTGAGATTGTCCTCTGTTCTGTGAGGTGAATTCTCAGTTCGCGAGCTGCTTTAGCACTTGGAGAGACAATGTTTTCCTGCTGGGGGTGTGGTCCAGAGGTACAGCTTGTTCCTGACAGGTATGATAGCTTCGATCCTAGTACCACCCAGGGTGGTAAAGAGAGTTTTTCTTTATAAATACTTATGAGCAGAAGAATCCACTGAGTGTCAGTGACTTCATACAAAACACACAATTCATCTTTGAAAAAGACTGTAGGTAATTGTATGAAACTTACCCATGTGTTGCAATATATCCTTTAAAAAAAAAACACCAACAGTATGTTATCAGATATGGAGAGGACCATACAACTGTTAGAATAGGTGATTAGGAACCAGGGATGAGATTCTGCTTCACACTGTTCTTAATCTAGAAAAAACCAATCTAATAAACTCTAAAACTTTTGCTTTAACGTGCATCACCCTTTTAATTTTGAGAAACGATTTTCTGTTTGACAATGATTTATGACTTAAATGATTTTATAGACCCACCATTAGTGGAACCAATTTGTCAATCTACAAATGCACCCTTAAAAATTATATAGTGTTTGTTTATTTTTCCTCTCACTGTCAAAATTATCCCAGTGTGGATAATTAATTATCTCGTCATGTGGTTAAAGCAGATGTCTATTTTGAATGTTTGCTGTTTTCATTCCACTGCCTCATTGATGGCTTCTGATGGTGATTCACAGTCGTCTACCCAAGACTCCCGAACGCCAAGAACTGAAAAGTACCTGCTAATGAGCATAAAATTCCTCACCTGGGAAATGAGCGTGCCTTGGGATTCGCTCCACACCCTTCAGCGCTGTTTGACTTCTCCCTGCCTTAATTGTAAGAGGAACAGCACTTTCCATCTCTCACAGGTAGCTTGGAGGTTAGTAAATGGCTTTTTAAAAGTTTATTTTCATAATTATATTGTACTCGTTATCTGCCTTTAACAAATCGCTTTATTGTTTGTTTATATTCCGGTTTGCGATTCGCCTTGGTGTAGGAGAACCTAATGTAATCCCTTCCGCCATAGTCCGCACTGTCACAAACAGACTCACTAATGAGTTCATTAAGAGTCAGATGATTAGGTAATTGGTGGCTTAAATGCCTTGTATCATTCAGAAGTCCACAGTGGGTTGTGTTATAGGTAATTAAAGAACACAGGTGACATACAAAAGGCATTTCTTCCCTCCTTTAATGCAAGAGAACATGGGCCCTTGCTATGCCAAAACTGGCCAGTCACACACACGTTTCCAAAAAGAATTCTGTTTAGATAGCAGAGACCACTTTTGTCTGTCGAGTGGGGTTTTTGAATGTCACCAGACACTGCTCCTGACCCTGGGGATTTAGTGGTGAACACAGTAACCAGTCTGTCCTTCTAGAGCTTAGCTTTGGGGGGAGCAAATGGCAACGAAAATAAGCATATCATATAATACATGTCGGACATAGACACACACCGAGGAGGAAAATAAACCAAGGTAAACCAAACCAGGAGGACACAGGCACATGGGGGAGGTGTTACTTTACCTGGTCAGAAGAGGAAGGTTCAGAGTTCAGGAAATGATGAATGATGTTAGTGTGTGTGAGGAAAGGGCAGGCCAGGGAAGTCTGAGAGAGGGAGGGACTGGTCTGCTTGAGGGAGATGAGTGGGCAGGTGTGGCTGAGATGGGGGCAGAGTCATGCAAATGAGAGCCATGCAAATGAGTGTCATGCAAATGAGTGTCATGCAAATGAAGCTGCTGGGAGTGCAGGAGGGGTGGAAAGTGAAGGACTTCTTGGAGAACATCATAGGTCAAAGACTTTGGATTTCAGCTGCAGCCACTGAAAAGTTCTGAGTACAGAGATGATATATGTTCATTGACCAAGCATCCTTGCTACTACAGAGAGGCAAGGTTGTGCACGTGAGGGTGGAGCAGAAGGCTTGGGGCAGGAGGACCAACGAGAAGGCTCTTGTAACCATCCAGACTGTATATAGTATAGGTATGGAGTGGACACACTTCAGGTAGCGAGAGGCTATAGTTCCTTATCTATTTGGAAGGAAAGATGGCGTGTCTTGTGGTGACTTGGATGTGGGGGGACAGTAAAGGTGTACTGCCTGGATGGCTTGTGGGATGGGGTTGCCGGTTATCTAACAATGAAAACCCGGAAGAGTCTGCTGGGATGTGGTAGAGGAAGGGAGATGGAAGTTTAGCTCTGTGCTTATTAAATTGGAGCTTTGCTGGGACTACCTGAGCTGAAACACAGTGGCTGGCTACTTATCTCTCCATTCTCTTGTTAATTCATTACTAGATTTGTGATGTTAATATCACTCCATAACAGAATTGCTGAGAGGATTAAGAGTTAACAGGTTAAAGTGCTCTGTAAGGGCTCCCGGTAACCACTCGACCGTCATTATCATGAGCATCTTTGATTCATATTTTCGAAGAGAATTCATGCAGAAAGATCCATGTGCTTCATTGCACTTGAGCACATAGAATCGGGGACAGAAGTGGATTTTAATCTCCCTTAATTTAAATCCTCATTTCCTAGCTGAGGCAGCCAATGGATGGGCATGAAGTATTCTGCCTAATTTAGAATCCAGGTCTACAAGCCAGAATCCTGGAAACCGGCATTCTCCTCAGTACCTGATACTTCTCAGATACTATTACAGTTTTCTCTAGGAGTCACAGTTTTGAAGGGTATTTGCTGAAAACTCAAGATGGCTTTATATTTAGACAGGTTTCCTCTTGTTTAATCTTCCAAGAGTTTGGGCAGCTTGACCCCAGTTGACTTGAGGGGCACAGACGCGCTGTGTTCTTCTTAGCAACATAAGATATGTGGGGTTTAACATGAAAGGGAGGGATGAAAGGTTTAACATTATGTAACCCTCACTGACCAAGCCTCAGGAGCAGGGCTTCTTGGGGTGGGTAGCTGAACCCTCCTACACTGTTTTCTCTTGGAAAAATATCACATGGCCAACCTTCCTATCATACAACCAAGCTTTCTAGACCATTTGGGCCCATTAACCAAAGGGAATGGAGGGGAAGGCAGGTGCGTGTGTGCCAAGTTCTGTGAACTTGGGTGTTTCTGCTAGACTTTGTACTGTATCAAAGAGGATCTGTTTCTTCCATCTCCTCAATCCCGCTTTGTTCCCCATCCCCCACCCCCCTGGTTAGTGCTGCTCAGATCTTCCCACTCATCTCCTAATGGTGATTAAGACTTAATTTATGCTAGAGTCCTTGTGAGTCTGGTTTCTGCAAAGGGGGCACATGGCACATCTGGAAACAGACACATTAGATGCTCTTTCATGAAGGCCTGGAGTTCAGTGAGTGCTGGGAAGCCGAGAGACAGGAGGCTGCCTAGCGTATCTCTGGGCCTTTAAAAAAAAAAAAACTCTTCCCAAAGCAGAGACTTTTGCCAGCAGCAAAATTAATAAAATGACCCACCTCTCCCCTGGCCCCAGGCCATGAGAACTGGATCCAAGGAGCCAGAGACTGAAGGGAAGCAGACAGGGTGTAATGAAGGGGACTGACGACAGATGTGTGGGGCTGGGTGCAAGCAAGAGCAGCTGGCTCCTGTGACTCAGAAGGAAAGGCTTATCTACTGTCAGGACAAAAGGGACTTTATCCAAGTCAGGACATACCTGGCTTATCCCACGTAGTATCGAGGACACCAGCCACACTCTTTGTGTTGATGGCTGTAGAGTCATGTAAGGAAAGTTGTCCAGGGCTTAATAGGAACAGATTTAATGGCTCAAGATGGCTACAGTCAGGTCAGGTGGGATGCCTAGCAACTCCCCATGGGACTGTGAACTCAGCTCATGGCCAATAGAGAGGGTCTGGATGGTGCTTTAGTCCACCAGAGCTTGGTGATCAGGAGAGAGTCAGCCAGGCTTGGATGTGGTGCCAGCTGCATATTGAGAGGCCAGAGAAACTGGATTTCTGTTTAGAGGTGAGGTGACAAGATCAGAAACACATCAACTCAACATTTGCAGGTCTCAGTCCCAGCATCCATTTTCCTTCTGTCTTGTACAGCAGCCATGGGTTTTTGTTGATAGGAGAAACATTACAAATTCTTAAGTAGCCAACAGATTAGAAGTGATACCTCCTGCTATGGCCTGGAAATATCCATGTTTTTATTAGAAATGTAAGCCCCAATTTTATATGTTAATGGTGTTTGGAGGGAGAGCCTCTAGGAGATCATTAGCATTCAATGAGGTCATGGGTGTGAGGTCCTCAGGATGATATCAGTGGCTCTGTCTCCATGTCACCCTTACAACACACTATGCAGATTCTCAGACTCAACAGATGTTGACCAGATGTGAGTGTCCTGCTCTTGGACTTCTCAGCCTTCAGAGCCTTAAGGGCCAGATGAACTTCTATTACTCATAGGTTCCCTGCCTGTAGTAGTTTGTCAGGGCAACAGGAAACGGATGAAGCTGCCTACTCAGCAAGACTTCTAGAAAAGCTATTATCTTTCTGATAAAAAAGCCAGGATCCAGAGAAGAAACTCTGGCCGTGAAGATGTAAGTCCCAAGCGAAGTGTGGCAAGGGAGAAAGTTACAGGGAGCTTGGGAATTGGTTGACCTTCCAGAGATGCTCTATTAGTCCTGCCCATAGATCTGTTGGGAGGTAAGAAGCAGGCATCCCTGTGTGCTTGGAGCACTTCTCACTGATGGCAGGCAGTGGTACAGCCTTCCACTGCAAGGTGAGGGTTCCATTGTGTGTGGTATAGGCTCAGAAACAGCACAAAAGCACCCATCTCCAAAATGAGAAAGATGCTTTCTTTTCTGTCTGAGTCTAGGAAGACTTTCAATGAATTCTGTCATTATTAAGTACTTCATGGGATCACATTATGGTTGTTGGGGACTACTTGACCTTGTCCATCTTGAGGAAGGAAAAGTAGATGGTTTGGTGGGGTAGGTAGGTAAAGAATGAAGATTTGGAGGGGAAGGCAATTAGTTCTCAGGAATAATGAACAAGCCCAGAGGTGAGAAATCTAAGGGTAGAGCTGTGGAGTCCAGTCCCCAGAGAATAAAGCCCAGATGTGTGAACTTGTCAAAGGTAAAGGCCATCTCAGCTAAATTTCCTCAAGTGTTCCCTGCCAGGAACACAGGGTCCGGGTTTGGGAGGGCTAGTGTGCAAGTAGGTGCATTTGTGTGGCTGCCACTGGTGAAGAATGGAGACCCTGGGTTGCAGGTAGGACCCTACACATGCATCATGAAGATGGATGGACAGATGGATGGATTTGGATCTGTGTGTGTCATGCTAGATATTGGGCAGTGGTAGTTGTGAGAACAGTATGTTCAATATAAAAAAAAATTCCCACTGGACAGTAGAGGCGCACACCTTTAATCCCAGAAGAGGCAGATTTCTGAGTTTGAGACCAGCCTGGTCTACAGAGTGAGTTCCAGGACAGCCAGAGCTACACAGAGAAACCCTGTCTCGAAAAAACAAACAAAACAAGCAACAACAACAAAAAAAATCCAAATTTTCTCATGCTTTCTCTATTCTGTTACATCACATCTAGCTAAGTGATACAGGATTTCTCTCTGGAATAAGGAAGAGAATCCAAAACTGGTGCTGATGGAGACTTAGTGCTGTAAATAGACTAAAAGCCACCGAATAATTTACTTCAAATGGGTAAACTCTACAGTGTTTTGGTTTGAGTGTGAAGCATTCCCCACAGGCTCATGTGTTAAAATCCTTGGTCCCTGATGGTGGCACTGTGACACCATCACCACATGGAGCCTAGGGTGGGATTTGAGGGTTACAGACTGGCTCTGTTTCTGGCCTGAGCTCTCTGCTTCCTGCTCCACTGAGTCGTGAGCTAACGGCCTCACACCTCTGCTGTCACGGACCCAGCTGCTTCAGTAGCCGCCATGCCTTTCCCATCATGATGGAATGT